TTTCCCCCCCCATCTGAACAGTCAAACCACCTGGGGAATTCGTTCAAGTGCTGCCAAAAATAACAGATCCAATAAATTAAATGTACAGAAATAGTCAACCGTACTCCTGTAAGAAATATTCATGGGAAATCATGAGCATCCTGTCCAAGCCAAAAAAACCTGTCTGCAGCCTGTATGTGAAAAATGTCTGTCGACTTTACCACTAACAGTGACAGCTGGGGATTCAGGGAAACGCATCGCAGTTTACTGGGCCGTTATCCAAATTCCATTACAAACTTACACCATAATCAGAAAAAAATTTAAACAGATTTCCTCTGTTTAGAAGGAAATGGGTCCCTTGACGCTTTGTACATTGATCCAGACATTCTGCCGATAATGCATGGAGACTGGAAATCATACAAAAAGGGTACTAAAGCTAAATTAGAGCATGTTCTAATATTTATGGTTCTGTGTATGGGGATCAGAAACTTCCATCCTAAGATGGATTCTTCTAAAGCGGTAGTCACACCTGTCTTTTGTAAACTGTCTGAACTTTGAGAAAGACCAATTTAAAAACTGAATCTTTTAGTAAGTTAAACTCTCTTACTTTTTTTTTTGTATTTCTGGTCAAAACGTGACTCTCTGTACTTTTTTGGTCAATATGGTTTTATGGTGATAAATTTACTGTATGGATTTTGGGGGGGTAAAAACTCAAAACTGGTGTGCACTACAAATATGGTGCTTTTATATAGGTTCATCATTCAGAAACTAGATAACTAGTCAGTATTTCAAGCAGGCACTACGCATTCAAGGTAACACATTTCTACTGAGAACTAGTTAAGTGATCCAAGTGGCAAGTGAAAGATCAGACTGGGGCAGTGGGGTACCAGAGAGGATGCATTAGGATGACTGTGCTTCCTAATTGACATGAATTATTCAACACTGCACACACAATTGACCTGATCCAAGCGTTCAAACCCCTCCTCTGACAAAAAAAAAAAAGTCAACCCAATGGATTTCAAAACATGAACCGGAGGACACAAAGTCCAATCACAAAATGCTTTTAAAATGGAAAACGTGATGCACCTTTTTACACACAGAGCCGTTGTAGTCAGGAACAAGCTACTCTCCCGTACTGTTGAGGCCGATACCTTGGTTTTGTTCAAGAAACGAGATCAGCTCACTACTAGAAAATCCAACAAGCCAGATGGGAGTAATGTGTAATACGACTCTCACTCATAACCTGAAACTCCCACGTGGAACGTTGTCAAACGTGGGTTGTTCTAAGCATATTCTAGCCCCTGCTCAATCATTTGTACCACACATGCTTTTTTTTTTTGCAGAGGAAGCGCACAACGTACCTCCTTCTCCTTTTTCTTCTTGCCGAGTTTTCCCGAGTCTTTGCGGCTCTCCTCCAAGGCCATCTGGAGCCGGAGGTCATCCCCGCGCCTCATCCTCTCCTCCTGAAAGCAGACAGGCAGTGAGCGCCGCCACACTGTCCCCCTCACCCGCAGGCCACGCTCACCGGCCTGCACCCCCCCTCTTTCCCCGGAAGAGCCAAAGTGCTCACGCGTGATTCTTCCTGGGATTTGCGAGGAGTTCCGTATTCATGGCTGCAACATATACCAGGTCATCAGCTTTCATCGGAAAAATAGTGCAAACCCAGGGAGCTGGTACTGGGTTTGTGAATATGGCCTCTTACTCATGAGTGGACGGATTGACCACTGGTGAGAAAAAAGGGTGAATATCCAGCGTACAACACACTGCGCAAATCTCATTCTGTAAGCACGCCCTTGCATTCTTTTTGCTAGATGGAAGAGGTCTGATTTCGTTTTACGCCTTTCTCCAATGTTTTAGTTGAGCTTTTTCCGAGCTGATTGAGAACTCCATCTCTTTGGCATGAAAGACGAAAGTTTAATTAATACCAAATTATAAGATCGGAAAGAAACGAAGAGTAGTAGGACAGTTTGCGCAGACGTCCTGTTACTCGCAGCTCCAGAATTCACTAACCAGGCGTTCCTATTTTTAGATGCTTCCTTTTCTCACTCTACTGGGCATCTCCACACTAGACTTTCATATGGACCCAATACATTATTCTCCAAAATATGTGAAAAATTGCTAACATAACATGGGCGGTGTGGTGGCTCTGTGGCTCAGGATCTGCGCCTGGGGCTGGAAGGTTGCCGGTTCGAACCCTGTGGCCGGCAGAGGAATCCTACTCCGTTGGGCCCCTGAGCAAGGCCCTTAACCCCGACTGCTCCAGGGGCGCCATATAAGTGGCTGACCCTGCGCTCTGACCCCAAGCTTCTCTCCCTGTCTGTGTGTCTCGTGGAGAGCAAGCTGGGGTATGCGAAAAGAAATTCCTAATACAAGAAATTGTATGTGGCCAATAAAGTAATATGATCTTATAAGAAAATCAAGCCAAAAGCTCATAAAATGCTTAGCTGTTCTTTGTCTCTCCTCTCTCTTTCCCTCTGTTCGGTCATTATTCAGCTGTTCTGAGCAGCTGTACACTGGAAGTGGATCTCTTGCACAGGCATCTGACACACTCCTCCCAACCCAGCCAAGTTCCAGGGCAGCCCAGCATTGATTTTCCAGCTTGCATTAAGTGTAGGTGTAGATTTGGAAAAGATCTATACCTGGTATATGATCAGCATGACCATTTCAAGGACAACCTAGGACTCAAAACCCCTCCCCCTTCAAGGAGAAAACCAATGACAGCCAGCTGTGGACAGTCTCAAAAACAGCTCCACTCGTACTTCTCTAATCTGGCTATTACAGATTATCCAGTGTTGACTGTGCAGCTAGGAATTGCTTCCCTACTGGCAAACTCAACAGAATGAGTTCTGAGCTCCATGCTGCTCTTTCTTGTGCCTGCACTGCATGCCTGTCCGTGACAGAAGGGAAACAATTCATCAACTGCAGGGTTTGAAAGAGGTGCTGTAACCATACCCACAGGGACAAGCTTAAACGCAGAAAAGCAAGGGAACCATGCAGGAGAGAGAAATAAACACCAAAGGTGAAAATAAACAGTGAATAATAGCACCAGAAAGCCATACTTCAACCCACGATACCAACTTCAGCAACAACAAAAAAGCACTGTAAGTATGAGACCTATACACCTTTTTTGTTGCCAGTTTCATTCAAAAACAAAGCAGTAGACCCAATTTGGCATAACGCACACTGGAGAAAAAAAACAACTAAAAATAAATAAACAATCTTTTGCAAGTTAACATCTCCAACTTCGTTTTAATGGTAAGATAATGAAACTGGCGAGACTTGGAACACAGGCCACTGAACAAAATTGGATACCTTTGGTGACAGCGGCCAGTAAGACCCTCTTCCACGGGACCTCCTGCCACGTGCTTCTTCCTTTCCTCAACAAAAATTATTGCCTGAGACACTTTACAGTAGAATCATGTTTTCATCCTGACATGGGTGGTCAGAGCACATGCTAGTGCCTTCTCTGTCATCAGAAGCCCTCTTATCTGTCCATTTATTTATTTTTATAGCGACAAATCCTTGCATACTTCTTTGTAACTCTTAAATCCCTCAGCCATGCACTTCTACAGCGCACAAGCAACACATTTGAGGTGACTGAACGAAGAGAGGGGCACAATTTGGATTGACTGAAAGGCTTGTCACTAGGGGGAAATCTTAATGTAATATGCTTTTGAAAAAGTTAATTAGAATCCGCCTGCAGTGTATATTGTTTTAAGCAGCAGAAGACAACAGAATGGTCTGTGAGCACAGAGCAGCACCAGCATGTGTAAGACAAGATCAAAAGAATATTAACACAAAGCAAGAAGATAGAAAAATAAAGGCAGACCATCCTAAACAGACCCAGGGACCGAGACTTCTTTAAGCACAATATATCCTGCTAAACATATATACTGCAATGATTATATTCATCACTGATCATTGGTGAATCTTTAAATCAACAATTCCTGTCTTTAACGCCCTTTAAGAATCTCGGTCCTCGGCCCGCAGGAAGCTCTACTCTTCCACGCTTTGGGTTGGAATACATCCTTTAAAAAAAGAGGGAAAGAGCTGTTAATGGATAGAAGGACTTGAAAGAGAAACAGATCAAAGGATAAATGTATAGGACCTGGCCGCACATTAAAATGTTCGTTTTAAACATCAAGCGGAGAAGACTGGATTGCAAGAATCCCATCAAGGGGCCTAGAAGATGAGAGGATTATACCAAGTGCGGGCCTCGACTCTTATGTGGCTGTCTGCTAAAATCGACTTATTACTGTGAGCCATTCTCCTTAAGCTAAGCAGGAGAGTCTGCTTCTTAAATTCACGTGCAAAGTATTACCAGATGTCAGAAATACATGCTCCTGGTAGGAGCCCTCTATCCCTTGCTTTACCAGATGGCAACCAGCAATGTTATAAGAACTGTAATGTGCATTATCGAGGGCTGCCTCTCAGCCAGGACCAGCAGGAACATTTTTCCTTAGCTGACCAGCCTATGTTGTCACCTGCCAAAACATTTAGTCACTCCTTCAAGTCACCAGGTAAAGGTATTTGCAGTACCTGGCTTCTACCCTAATTTCTACCACCCAGTGCCACGCTCTTACACTGGTGCATGAAAGTTGAAAGGGCTAGATGAACTCTGAAAAGAACACGAAGCTACACGTGTGTAATCTGTAATTATGGCAGATCCCAATCACACCACGGTAGCTCACGGTTCAAGTAATCTCATTTGAAAGTGTGAAAAAGTGGAAAGCCTGCAGGGCTTATCATCAACAACAGAGGTGTGCGCACACACACACAAAAAATCAAACTCTGTAGACCAAGGGAGATTTTAAGGGTGGAGCTCAGAAACGGAGACCAGATTGAATGCGTTACCTGGGAGGCAGCATTAGAGGCAGTGTGCTAAAAGAAAATGCCAGGGGAACTCAGGTGGCCTGTGAACGAGGCAAAACTTCCTGCCCTTTGAACTGCAGATGCCAGTATTGGCATTAGGTGGTTGTTAAACTGTAAAACAGACGTTAAGGTAAAGATTTTCAGTCCAAGCAGCCTACATACCTGCTGGCTTTTGTTCCAGCCCATTCCTCAGTTACATAGTTTTACAGGTAATAATAATAGGATTATCTGAATTCTTTAAATCTTTTCACTCTTAAAACATTTTGGAGGTTTTCCTTTATCTAACAAAGTTTCATGCCTTAAAATCTCCAACTTTTCATTGTAAAAAGAAAATGTTTCAGGTCAAGTGGGGAGCTCTGATGGAACGAAAGCCAGCAGGTGTGTGGGCCTCCTGCGCCGAGCTCTCGCCAGCCGCCCGTACCTGCTCTGCCGCCTCTCGGCTCATGGCCAGCGCCAGCTGCAGCTGCAGCTCCTCCTCCCCGCTGGTCTGCGGCCGCGCTTGCTCCAGCTCCGAGGACGCGTGCGGGGACGTGGCTGAAAGACAGACAGCACCTCTCGTGAGGTCCACACCCTCTGACCAACCCTCCTGTCACCTCCCACGCGGTCCACTCCGCACCCACTCGAACCCTCCTCTGTCACCTCCCACACGGTCCACTCCGCACCTACTGGGGCACGGGATGCACTCCACACCCACTGGGGCACCTCCCACACGGTCCACTCCACACCCACTGGGGCACGGGATGCACTCCACACCCAATGGGACACCTCTCACACGGTCCACTCCACACCCACTGGGGCACCTCCCACACGGTCCACTCCGCACCCACTGGGGCACCTCCCACACGGTCCACTCCGCACCCACTGGGGCACCTC